ACGCTGAGTCCAGGAAGCAGACACGGAGGCAGCGCAGCCACAGTGGGACCAGTCCCTGCAGAGCCAGGCTGTGCTGTCCTGGCTTCAACCCACTCACATTATAGTTCCTGCTTAATCTCAACAGCGTGCAGTGGAGTCACTCTGATCACTTAATATGGATATAATAACTTCTAGCATGCACATGAGTTATTTCTGCTCTTGTCAGTGATGCTGTGGTCGCGTTCTCAGTTCTGCTGCAAACCAACTCATTGCTGCACGTTTCTGTTGCATCGTTTTTGTTTTTTGCAGTTTTTGCACACTTGCTCTTCATGTAGTCCTGTGTTATTGTCACAGCACCGCGGGCTCGCTTCACTGTGTACTGTACCACTGGATATCTTCACAGAAGACGAGATCTTGGATAGAAGAGGCGGAAATGAGTTTGCTTCTGAGGGAGGCTGGCCTCTCTTCGAGAGGGCGAGAGGTGCTCAGAGAAGAGCTGCTGCTCCACATCAAAGGGAGGCTGTGAAGGTGTTTCAGGACCTCTAACAATGAGGCGTCCCAGGTATCTCTAAAATAAGCCGAGGTCGCCGTCTCTAAACACTAAAAACGTAACAGATCAGCCACGATGACACTCGGAGACTGAAATCTGTTGTGCATCGTCACAGCTGTTTTGCTCCATTTTTGCATTATTGATTGATCAAATATTACACCTGCCTCTGTTTTCAATTCATTTTATTTATATAGCGCCAAATCACAACAAAAGCGCCATTTGTGTGACGCTCGCAGTTATTTCCTGCGTTTGGCAGTGTGAGGGAGGACATCCGTGTTGGCGGACGCTGATCATGTTTTAAACATGGAGTCAGATTAAAATCTGCATCCTCCTATCTCCGGCGCACACACGGGCACGCTGCAGCCGGCAGCTTCAAACAAAGAGGCTGGAGCTGGAGAGCAGTGGGAGGGTGGAGGAGGCGCAGGGAGGCTCCTCTCTGCTTCATTTCCTCTCCTGCAGTGAGACCTGCGTCTCCTGGACTGCACAGAGCTGCTTCAGCACCACACGCCTTTGAAGGATTTGCGCTTTGTAACGAAGGATGCGGTGCATCGGTTTCCAATCAGCGAGAGCTGAATGCAAATTCAAATTATTAAATTTTCTCATTTGTTTGTCGCAGCTCCGCCTCCACAATTTAGATTTCACTACATTAAAGAGAGAAAGCGATTTGAAGGCTGCATCACATTTAACTCATTCAAGAAATCCATCTCGTCTCTGTTACCTCGACAACCGTCCCTCTGAAGGTGTGTTATCAGGATGTGACGGACTGCGCCGCCAAGCCTGAAGTGATGATTGGTCCTCACGTTTCAGCTCAAAGTTGCTGCTGACTGCTGCCCGCCTCAGGTTCAGATCTGAGGAGTTTCCAGGTTATCAGCAACGTGACCGTGAGAGTCCACCTTCTGTCCCGTCTGCACACTCAGACATCCCCGGGACAAAACTGAGCGG